TCCTGGGCCCTCGCGGGGTGGCCTGAAGGATCCTGGGACTTCGCGTGGCCTCCCGAGGTCTCTGAGTTGCCTTGAGTCTTGAAGCCATTTGAAGCCCCCTGGTTTCATTGGCCTCCTGGAGCTTCGTCTCCTCATGCTCCTCCTCCTCCTCCTCTTCCCCCTCCTCCTCCTCCTGTTCCTCCTCCTCCTCCTCCTCCGCCTCCTCCTCCTCCTCCTCCTCCTCCTCCTCCTCCTCCTCCTCCTCCTCCTCCTCCTCCTCCCCCCACGCTCTGCTTTCTACAAGGCGGCCAAGGAACAACATGTGAACACAGGATGGCGAGTGGGCCCAGCTCGCCCCTGCAAGGGCAGAGGCACGGGCAGGACCTTCTGGGAGGCCTGGACTCAAAAGGAACATGGATCTGACAAGGTCCAGATCGACAGCTGTGGCCCGCCTGTCTGGATGCCCGCCCTTCTTGAGCTGCTCCTTCCCCCTCCCCAGCACACGCCCTCCTCCTCATCTTCCTTGTCTTCAGCCCCCGAGGTTCTGTAAGAGCCCCAGGGGGGGGGGCAAGAAGAACCAGGTCCAGATCGACAGCTACGGCTCGCCTGTCTGGATGCCCGCCCTTCTTGAGCTGCTCCTCACCCCCAGGGCTGGACCTAGACGCTGTTTTGCTGGACTTCGGCTGTGCTTGTTGTTTCGCTTTGGCAGGGAGGTACAGGAACACAGGCAGAGCAAAACGAACAACAAAACGAAACTAACACGAAAAACAACGTTCAGGTCCAGCCCTGCCGCACCCTCCTCCTCATCCTCCTTGTCTTCAGCCCTTGAGGTTCTGTACGAGCCCCAGGGGGGGGAGGGCCAAGAAGGACCTCGGAACGTCCGCAGCAATATGCACTTTGCTGCGGGCTCTCTGGAAGCGTTCACGGGAACCTCTTCCAGTTGTCTTGGAATCCTCTTGTGTGAAGATGGGGGGGGGGGGACGGGCGGAGCAACGGCGGTCGGGCCGCGAGGACGATGATGGGCCCCCTTGGGACCGCCTGGCGAGCCCCCCGGGTCCGGCTTGGAGCCCTCTTCTTCGGCCTCGGGGGCCTCGTGCCCATGCGCGGGGCCCCTTCGGGCTGCTGCCGTCAGGGCCCCCACTCCAGCCGGCTTGAGCGTCTCCGGGGGCGGCGCGTGGAGAGTTGTGGAGGCCCTTTCGCAGGCAGCACACCGGAAGCAGGAATGCCGTTTTCTGTTTGCCAAAAAAAATTGTTGGGGCTCGATCGGCGGGGGAGATGGAAGCCGAGTCGGACCCGAAAGTGATGCGACCATTTTTTATCGGGAAGAGGTCGCGTTACTTTCGAGTCCTGGGAGCTCTAAAAGCACCGTCGTGGAGCTCCTCTGGGGCCGCCTTGGGGGCATAGTGGGACCATCTTAGGGGTGTTTGTGCTCGTCGTGGGGCTCCTTTGTTTCAGCCTAGGGATGCCCTGGCACTCACGGGTGTTCCCTTGACCATCGGAAGAGGCTCGTCGCATCTTGGAACCCTCTTGTTCCCTCTTGGGGCCCCGGCCGACCTCAATACGTGTATTCATGAAGTTGGTGCACGGTTTAGCTACGCAAATTACGTATCTCGCGAGAAAACGCAGGTGAAACAAATGAGCGCCACGACGAGCCCAGACTCCCCTAACGTGGTCCCAACATGCCCCCGAAGACGGCCCAAGAGGGGCTTCAAGACGGTCCTTTCGAAACTTCCAGGGCCTGACAGTAATGCGACCTTCTTCTTATACAAAAAACGGACGCATCCTCTTCGGGTCCGGCCCAGCTTCCATCTCCCGAGCCGATCGAGCAACAAATGCTCTCTTTTGTGGGGATGTAGTGGTTTTCGTTTTTTCTTTTCTGGACTGCCTCTAAGAATGCTCCACGATTCTCCACGCACCGCCCCTGGAGGCGCTCAAAGCGGCTGGAATTGGGGCCCTGGCTTCTTCCAATGGTCAAGGGGACACTCGAGAAAGCCACGGCACCCCCAGGATGAAACAAATGAGCCCCAAGAGGAGCCCAGACGCCCTCAAGATGTTCCCAATCTTGTACCCACAAGTCGACCCAACTAGAGAGTCAAGAGAGCCCTGAGACAGCTCCAGAGGAGGCTGGCAGATGTTGTAAGGATGTCCCGAGCGAAACCGCCGATACCGACCAAGTTTGGTCGGGGTTGAGCGTCCTCCAAAGGGCTCAAAAGATGACCCAAGAGGGCCCCCAGAGGGACCCAAGAGGGACCCGAGGGAGGCCCAAGAAAGCCTCCAAGACGGCTCGAGAGCCCCACGAGAGCCATAAGGCAGCCCCAGAGGAGCCGGGCACATTTTGTGAGGATGTCCCGAGCGAGACCGCCGATGCCGACCAAGTGTTGTCGGGATGGGCTCCCCCCAAAGCGGCCCAAAGGTGGCCCGAGAAGGGCTCGAGAGGGGCCCGCAGGGCCCCGAGGGTGTCTAAGAAGGCCTCCAAGACGGCCAAGAGAGTCAAAAGGGCCCTCCCAGAGAAGCACCGCCCTTACAATGACCTCCTCCCCTCCTTGCCTCCAGTTTCGTTCTCGCCAGTATCGGTGCCTCCCTGTGCCTCTCTGCATGAGGCTTGGCTTTGAACATTCATGTGTGTGTTTTACGCGTATGTTCGTACGCACATGTTTATGTTTACATACATATCTATGTATATGCACATCACATGTCATGTATACATTTTCACATATTATACACGACAAGCGGAAATGAATGTAGGCATACGCATGTACGGTTTCCAGAAACCAGCAACCGTACATGCCAACATGTTCCCGTTCGAGCGTGACAACTGCGTGCCAGACGTCAGCGGAGATGACGAGGAGGAAAAGGGCGGGGAGGGTGGACGTGGCGAGGAGGGAGTGGGGGACGAGGAGTCAGGAGGGAGTGTGGGGGTGGGGAGGGGGGAGGGCGAGAAGTGGGGAGTGGGCGAGGAGTGTGGGGAGGGGGGGGTGGATTGGGGGTGAGTGGGAGGGAGGGGGAGAGTGAGGGGGAGGGGGGGGGGCGGAGGGGGGTAAGGAGTGGGGAGTGGGAGGTAGGGGAGGGAGGAGGGAGTGGGCGAAGAGTGAGGGGAGGGATGGAGGAGGGAGTGCGGGAGGAGGAGTGAGGAGGAACGAGGGAGAGGGAGAAGGCCGGGGGGACGAGGAGGGAGGTGGGAGGAGCCCGCAGCCCAGGCGACCTGGAATCCCGACCCCCCCCCAGACCCTGAGAAATCACGTTGTCTTTTTGTTGGCACTGTTGCCAAACAAAGTTTTGGGCATTTGACACAAGGAAGCCGCTGAGGCGGATTTTTCAATTCTCAGGGGCAGGGGGATCCGCAGCCCAGGCGAATTCCTGACCCCCAGATCCCCAGACCTTCCCTCCTTAAAACAATTGAAGACACTTAACCATTATGTTTCCCATTGTTGTGCTCGATTCTTCTGTTTGAGATGAGTTTTGGAATTCCCATTCAGCCAGTTTGCTTCCCATTTTTGTTTTCGTGTCTTCTGTTTGAGATGAATTTTGGAAATCCCAGGGGCAGGGGACTCCGCAGCCCAGGCGAGCAGGAATCTCACAACCGCCTGAGCCAGAACTTAGGACGACTGTTCTTTTTGTACGCCATTTGTAACCAGGTCCCCCAAGCAAAACACC